AAACAGTTTATCATAGTTACATTTTATTTTAGTTCTTATTTAAATAAGTTTTTTTAAATTTAGGTACAATTTAATAACATACTTTCTATAATAAATAGTATAACAATCTGATTAATAACATTAAATAAATAGAAACAAAAATAAAATATTTAATAGTAAGATATTATAATATGTATATTACCTTAATAATGTAAAACAAAAAATGTATTATTATTTATTTCCTTGACATTTTTAAATATTTTAATAATAAATACATTTCAAATTTATTTTACTTATGTATAGTAAAACTATTTTGGTATTTATATAGATATACAATAACGTACATTTATCACAGTATTTTACTTGATATTTTCATCTTAGATGTTTAAGTAGACAAAAATATCAGTAAATATTTAAAATTTATCTTAAAGCCAAACTATTTGAAGTAAAACCACATTAAAATGAATCAATTTTTTATAGTAAGGAAGTCATTACATCTGTCTTCACTTAATTTGTTTAAGATTTTACTTGTGTATTCTCTTCAGACTAAAATGTTTAAGGATTTTTATTTCAACGGAATCACATCAGATTTTTACTAAAAAGATGAAAACATTTGATATTATAATTATTTTTCCTCATAAACCATCGCGAGGCTTTTTCATAACGTATTAAGAAAATTTGTAAATATGTAGTTATTTATATTACAAAAGTTTGAATTGGTTGTACATTTGACAATTTAGCGAAACCACTTAAAATAATATATATATATATACGTATATATACGGAAGTCAAAAATGTTTTTAAGATCTTGCAAAACTTAGACCCTATCAGATAATATAGTAAACTGTTTAATTTTTCAAGATTTTTTACTTTTTTTAGACAACGATTATATTAAGATCACTGGGATGAACAGATGTTGACTAAAAATTACTCAAAGTATAGTCAATACTAAAACTTATTAATGCAACTAAAATATAGTCAATTTTCATGATTACCATAAATTTATTTTCATAAAATCCATTATGTAATTTTTATTGGAATGTAAGCCATAAATTTAATGTTAGATTCTGCAGTGAAATATTTTCAAAACAAGAATTATTACAATAAAAATCTTTCATTTTAAGTTTTAATACAAAAAAATGCAGTGTTCGGTTGAGATGAAATAAAAAAGATATATTGTATTGAGGTTTTTTGCTACTAATTTATGTTATTTCGTCATTTGTAATGGGCTTTAAGTATTTTTTATCGTTTTTGTATTACAAAATTCATTGGATCAAAGCCATCGTGTTATAAGAATCGATCGAGTTTTTCTTTTTTTTTTTACTAATAGTAATATTGTGTTTTTTAGATGTTATGTGTAAAGTTAAAATTCGTTCACGTTTGTATAATGTGCGTTTCTGAGTTATCATACAAGTTTTCATAATTTTTTGAACATTTTTACGCTATTTGACGACACGTTAGAGTCTATTTGATATATTACGACTAATTTATGCATATTAATTAACTGTAGAATCATTTTCTAAGAACCACTCATATTTTTAACAATAGTTGATATAAAGAGTGTACCAAAAATCGAACGATACAACTAGAGTTGTATGCAAGTTAAGTGGATGTCCTGGAGTTCGACAGCCATAGTATCGATGTCATCGCGTACAATACACGCAAATACTACGACATTTTAACATTTGATTGTTTATACATAAAACATTTTTGGTAGTATTTGTCATTTGAATTGTTAATATGACATATGCTTATTACACCCTTTTCAATCCCATACGTTCACGTGCACAAACACAACCATGACATGCATAGGTTAATTTATTTATATTATTGGTTTGTCAGTAGATTAAACCAACTAAATGCAAATTTAATCAGATACTCGGACCTCGTTTTTCTGAAGTTTACATTTAATTTTATTGTAATTATTCATTGAACATTCAAATTATGACTTATGTTTACTAGATAGGGGATTCTTGTTTAAAAAAAGAAGAAAAAAATGTGCTGTAACTAAAACAGTAAATTTTCATAGGTAGGCGAAATCCATTCGCTATCAAACAGTAGACATCCATGTCCTCACAATTAGTTTTCTAAACGGTATTATATTCGAAATAAAATATTTTCTTCATAAATTCGTTAGTATCAAAAATTATGCAGGATACCTTTATAAATGATACCTAACCTCTTAAATACTTAAATTGTCTATTCATCGTGTTGATTAAAGGATATTAAAACAATAATCATTAATTTATTGTTACACATGTTTTTCAAAATTTCCAGTACTTTGTAAACATTATGAATATAATTTCTTTTACGTTTTTTCCGTAAAATATTTTTATTATTATTATTATTTTTTTTTTTTTTTATTCAGTATTTAGATAATTTCAATATTATTTATTTTATATTATAAATCACGCATTTCATATTTTTATGAATTGTATATACATTACACATTACACACACACATTATTTTTCAATCTGTACACAATATATTGTTACAATGATTTACTATTATTTTACTAATTATTTAAGAAAATTTATCTGACAGTTTAAATGAATGGCTATTCATATATATATATATCCATTAATATTTAAATAATCAAAAAAAAACTGTCATGTATTGTATTTTAAATTGAAATATTTAAAAGTAATTCAACAGAATTAGTTAACACTATCTATTCGATTTTCTATCACTATTTTTGCAAAAATCAAATTTCTTATCAGATCGATATTTTTTTTAACGTTCATTATATATACCATACTTTTATGTACCTATACATTTTAGCTATTGAACCAATAAGTTATTGTTTGAAAGAATTTATAGTTTGAATACCCGAAACGGTAGATTATGATATTTTACAGAGTGTTTCTGTTCAATATAATCGAAATGTTTGATACATAATGTATGAATACATCATCAAATTTGAATTTCCTGTCTTATATTAAAAAATAAACCAAATAATATAACATATAGAATTATCATTTAAATGGTACGAATATTTCAAAAACCGTAATAGTTAAATTTGGAATAAAGTATTTTTATTCGAATAAAAAAGATAATTTAGTATATAATTATCTTATAGAATGTATATAAAATTAAAGTGTATCTCTGTAGATACCTACATTAGTGGATTTTGGGAGATTTCTTAGCTTTTGCCTCAAGTCTTCCAGGATGTTTTTAACCCTAAACATTTTATGTCTGTTACAATATTTATAATATTAATAGATGAATAATTTTGTAAGAAATTTATTATCAACTATTATTTATTAATTTATTTAATTACAATTTATAGAAGAGTATTTTTAAATATATTCCTTAGCCTCTTTCCCCACATACACACAATTGACTAAATTTTTGTAAATTTAATTTAATTTTTCACTCGTAGTCGAAGGCAAATTAACTAATACGTTCAATTAAATTAATACGTAAAAAAAAAAAAATCAAAATCTATATAAAAAAGTATACATATGATATACAAGTTTTTATTTTTGTTTTTGGCAGCACAACCCTATTTTATCAGAAAACGAGCTCAAAATGCCATTATTGTAATCAGACTTAACACTTTTTTAATCTTATTTATTTTTTTATTCTTTTTTATGCACGATAACTACTTAATTTAATGTTTTTTTCAATTTTATTACTTTTTTTTGAAACTTTATTCAAATGCATGTAATTTAAGGTTTTTATATGCTATAACAAATGTAGATATTTATCAGTAACGTAATTATATTGTTATGATATATTAAATATATTTTATGATATAAAACTAAAAATATCTAATGAAATTAAAAAAAAATTTCATTTACTTGTTTAAAAATCTAAAAACAAAAAGTTTTTGGTAAATTATTAATTATTATACTGATATTAGTATTGATAAAATATGACACTTATTTATTTTTATTACAAATTTATACTTAAAAGTTTCTGTATAATTCATCAACTAAATAATTAATGCATAACTTATGTTATTAAGTTTACTCCTAAAACATATTGATTGTTTCACTTTAAATAAAAATAAATTTATAATTAACGTCCATAAATATATATTATGACGAATATATATTTTCATTGTAAATCATTATTAGTAACAGGGTTTTAATTTCTGGCGAAGTTTAAATTTTATATAAAAAACAATATTAATTCTAAAAAAATAGGCAAGTTGGTACCGCTCTGCTATACATTAGGTGTTACGTGTGCCACTATTACGAATGTATTAAATTTAAATTCTATGATATATCATTAAATACGAAAAATAATTTTGAGCGGAGATGATGTCTCAGCCTACATCACAAACACTAAGTACTTATACAAGATAATGTAACATTTATTTATTATAATAACATACATTTATATCTAATTAAATCAAAAAATATTCGAATAGAAATAATAATTATTATACGAGTGAACATTCAATTTCGGTAAAATTTGAACTACAATAGTCTTCATAAGTTATGAAACAAACCATTATTTTATGTATTTTCTATGACCCTATAAATTCCATGACACTTCAAAATATTACCAACTTAATTTGAATATACAGATTTTATACATTATATACATTACAGTTCGCAGCAAATTTAAAAAAAAATTGTTATTGTTTTATTAATTGTCTATAATTTATGAAAAAAAGACTAGTTTTGACTAAAAAATTCAAAATCTTAAGAAGGCAGCCTTTCGAAAAATTGTCAAATTGTAACTTTAGGTGTTTTTTTTTTTTTTTTTAGTTACTTTTATGACAGAAATTTCCATATGTATAACTTTACAACAAAAGATACAATTTCGTTGTTTGAGAACATTTTTATTTATTTTAGTAACATAATAAAAATAAAGCTCATCAGTTTAATGTTAGAAGTAATTCTAAAGTGGTTTAGCCATTTTTTATACATGACGTTTTCAGATAGAGGTTTAAGTATCACTGAAAATAAAAAATATAAGAATATTATTTTTCTATGACATAATACTGTCAAATGTTTCATAATTTTTCGAAATATTAACCAAAATTTCATTATTTTTTTACTTACAGATAAAGTGATAGCAGAAGCTTCATTTACTGGAGGAGAATTTTTGAAATACGCATTCGATGGCAACACTGAAGGAGATTCATTCATATTGCATTTCAAAACTAAAAAACCAGCTGGACTACTTTATCACATGGGTACGAATAAATTTACAGATTTAATAAAAATATTTAAAAATATACTCATTTTTTATTGAAATCAATATTATGCAAGTATTATGATATCATTTAATTTATAAATTGTTGGATTTTACGCATTTTAAACACTTAGCAATTTTAGTTATAATTTACTTGTTTAATAAAACGTAAAAAATATTTGATACAAAATTATTACAACTATTTTATATTTTATAACTTAAAATTTAATTATAAAATAAACTATTGAAAATGTTTTTAAAAATTGCATTCATTAAATTAAGAAATATTTATCAGTTATTATTTGTGTTACTATAAATTGAATATTTTTATACTGAATATAATATTTTAATATTAAATAGTTTGGAAAGATATGTAAAACAAATTATAATGAAAGAAAACTATTAAGAATCGTATTAAATTACATAATTCTCATTTAATGGTACTAAATTTCAATTGTATATAATTTTACTTTTCAATATATTTTTCATATAATGTTTAAAATTAACAAAATAATATTATTCATGTAGTTAAATTATGATGAGTGTATTATATTGTATATTTTTGGTATTAGGTTAACCAGTTCTCTTCTATTTCATTACACTTCCCTATAAAATAAGATTTCTTAATTTATAGGTCGTGAATAATAATGTTTGAATAAGTTTCAAAAACTTATAATAAATTATAACTGTTATAAACAACACTTTTTTTTGTAATTAATAGAGTTTAAAATCCTACAAAATTTCAGGAACGTAATAATGAGTAGAATATTATTTTTTGTTTTGTAAGCATCAATAAAATACTTTTTCACACTAATATAAATTATTAAAGCAACGATGCAAATAATAACACGTGATCAATAATAAGAGGTTCATTCTGTCCAGTGTTATAGGTATCTTATATGTACTTTTTATAAACAGACTTTGGACATACTTTTTACTTTAACATTATATAACTGAGTCAACGTGCCTTTTTTGAAAGACTTTATTTGGTGATGTTATTGTCATATGAAGTTAACGTATATTTTTAATGCAAAAAAAAAATACAATAATATATCTTTTGTTTAGATATAACGTATGATTAAATTTTGTTTTTCTCAATACTAATTCTTATAACATATTATAAAAGTATAAGCACTTTTCACGAACCAAGTTTTGACGACACTATTGAACTTTTTCATAATTTTTTTTTTTTTCGTTAAGTTATTGCAAGTACCCTTCTCCCCATAAGTATCTTAGGTTCACCATTTTTTACAGCTTTGGTCTGGAGTGGCAATGGAAGGGCAAACATCATAATTCAACGCACTAATTTTTTTGGCGAGGCGTTTGAATAATTTCACAACTTTTTTTACGGTGTCAGAAGAAATCATGCATATGACATAATTTGTGACTGTTTAAAAATCAATTACAAACTTTAATTTTGCTTAAATTTATAATGTTCTCATTATATAAGAAAATATACAAGCACTCAGCCAATTTAAATAGTTAAAAACAAGCGCAAGTAAACAAAACTTTATGTAGAATCATTATTAGATTACATAGATGTCAATTCAAGTAATTATTGAGAATAAAATTTTACTTAATTAAATCTTTAAAATAACTAGTGTATATTATTTAACATCTAAAAATCAATACCTTATTTTACCAATTTGAATTTTATTTTATTTTAAATTATCTCTAAACTCAATCATAAAATTACAAATATTAATAAATAAAAATAATTAAATACGAAAGTATAATTTTTTAAATACAGAATGTAATATTAATTATCTCAATTTAATATGTGTACAATTAAGTTTTAAGATACAAACCGAGTTTACAATAATATATTATTTTATTATCATATATGTATTAAAAATGAATTGTTGGTATTACAAATTATAAACATTTTTTTTTTAATAATAATCAAAGCTCATATTATTTTAATAACTTGTATTAATTAATAGCTTTTTATCTCTAATCACAGATAGCATGGTGTAATTTTTTTTTTTAATTAAATTAAATAATAAATATTTAAAAACAGTTTTGAGTGGTTTGATTAACTAAAATCTTAGTTGATTTTTTTTCTTCAAATTTTAAGTGCTTATAACTTTTAGTACAAATTATTTATAAAAATATATATGGTATGTTGGTAAATATCATAACAAATATATAATTTAACTATATTTTTAATATTTAATAAAACCTAATATAACAAAAAAATTAAACTAAACTAAATTAGTACTGAACTATACTGCAATAGTCATTATGATTATTATTTTTCTATCTCACTTTAAAATCCATCGCTTACATCTCCATAAACATGATAGTTTACGCAATATCCAAAGATATTATAACAACTATATTTTTTATGTTTCAGGAGACGGCTCAAGTAACTACTTAAACGTAGGTATCGTCACTGGTGGTATTACAGTGACGATGAGAGTAGGTACAGGCTCATTGGATATGTTTATCAAGCCAAACAGAATACGGTTCGATGATAATCAATGGCATAAGATATCAGTCACCCGCAAAGTCCAAGGGGTAAAATATTTTAATTTAAAAAAAATTTTTTTAGAAATTAATTACTATAAATATTATGCACATGGCAGTTTATTCATCTGTCAAAACTAAACTTTTTTATTTTGAAAGTAGTTGTCAACAAACGATAAAGAGGCAGTATGGATTAGTACATAATTCTCATAAAATATTTTTAAACGTCTTTTTTTTTCTTTAAATATTTAAGAAATAATTTTTATATTTAACAAAGAAAAATATTAACTGAAAGTTAAAAGTCTTATTAACGAATATAGTTATAAATACAAAAATATATACATATTTTTATACATTACTTGTATATTTTAATGACTTTATTTTAAATTCAATACTTACTGTAACAAATTAAAAACACATTTGCGTATATTTTTCTAATAATAAAAATTATTAATTATAATAATCTATTAGAACCTCGGAAATATATTGTTTATTCTAAATTATGTTTTGTAAACGATTATATTAACATTTCATATTTTAAAAATAAATAAAAACAATTGATATAAATTATGTATTAGATATAGTACTAGTTTTATAATAATGTGCTATAACTCTATAATATTGCATTTAACTAATTTTGACTTTTTTTTTCTTTTGTTTTTAGATATCTGCAGTTACCAGTTTTTGTAAGGTTTGTATTTTTTGAATAAGAATAAAATTAGTATTACTGTTTGTAAAGTGCCATAAAAAATGACCATATTATTATAAATTAAATTTTAAACATTTTATCAAAAGTAAAAAAAGAAACTTTAAACAATTTACTTAAATCATTGTAAACGAGGTTTTTATATCTGTAATTCATTATTTATTAATTTCCATTCACTAATATATTATGAAGGGAAATTTAAAAAAAAATATGAAAATAAAGTCACATTTTAGGTAAAAAACTGTTTACTTAGGTATATTTATCGTTAGATTGTTGTTCAATAGAATTATATCAATAAATAAAAAATATATAAATTATTAATGACGGGTAAAAATTTATTCAAGAAAAAACAACTCACATGTGTTGATATTTTTGATATTATCCGTCTTAGATGAAATATTTAAGTACTTACCGTAAAGAATGTACTGCAAAACAACGTAAAAATAAAATTCCTTGTTCTCACTACTTTGTTTTGTATATTTTTACAATCTATAGTTACTTTAATTGTCCAATATATTATAGTCAATAACAATAGTAATGATTTATCACAATACAAACAGAACTATAGCTTTAAAAAAAAATACTGTTTTCTATTTATACAAGTAATTTAGTTTTAAGAAGAAAATTACATTAAATTAAAGTTAGTCTGTTAGAATCTCAAAAAGATAATCACAAATTCAAAATTAACTATAAAAATCTTGATTAAAAAATAAAAATAAAATATTTCATTATGTTTATTGTTATCACAGAAAACTTGCTTTACCAACAATAAGTATTAACCTGTTTTCTAAGTTTAATCTTTTAATCATTTTAATTTTTTAATTGTTCACAGAAAGTTAGAAAAAAAATATTACACCTCATTTATTCATACCTAAATTTAATTTTTTTTTTTTAATTGATTGTAGATTTAAAACTAAATAAATACATAAATAAAATTATTAATAAAAACATAAAAAAAAATAATGAACATTTTAACAACAAAAATATAAAATTAAGTTGATGATTCATGTTGAATAATATGGTTTATAATAAATGTAAAAACACTAATATTTATAACAATTATAGCTGAAATAATTTTAGTATGAATATCAAAAACAAATTACACAAGAAAATTTATTTATGAAGGATAACATACAGTTATTAAAATCAAGGTAAACTGAAAAGCACCCTTGAAAAAATCTTAATTTTGAATTCAGTCTACTCTTGCATGTTGTAATTACCGGTTGTCACATCAAAATGTAAATTGATTAAATCAAATATAACACGAATTAATCATTATTTTTACGATTTATAAATAAAATGAAATAAATCCCAAGTTCGTTAGTTTTGAATTAAAAATTGATCGTTAAATTATTAATTTCAAAGAATTTAATAAGCTTTATACAAATACAATATTGTTCACACAACGTCAACAAAACAAATATGTTAAGCAAAATAAATAAACGTGTCTCGAGAATACAAACAAATATTCATCATATTGTGTGTGAAATTTATGGTTATTTATTGTTGCATAAAATTCAAAATAATTTTGCAAAAATATGTACAAAAAGATTATTATAACAAAATATAACTATACGTTTCCAAGTTAACAATTTAAGTTAAGCGTTCTATTTTATCTAAAGGAGAAATTGATCGTAGTACAAAAACAATAAAAAATAATACATTTCAATTGTAAATTGTATATTTTCACAAAACTATTATTTGAGTTCCTATTTACTTTTCGATGTATACTTCTCTACGTTATATTATTTTAACGTATACTGTATTCTTGTGCAAATTAGTTATATCTCCATGGTGATATTGGTGACACCATTGTTAACAATTCTCATTTTTTTTCATATATCAGCTGTTATATTAAAACGACCTTTTCCTACATGTCAAAAAATAAAAAATAAAATGTTCTTATTTATAATTTATTACACCTTTGATATTTTTGATGGTTTTTTTTTTTATTATTATTATTATCGTTTATTTTTTGGGTTATTTGAAATTTATAATTTATTAAAATTACTAGTATACTGAAATTAGAACCTTCTTAAATATTGAAATTAGAACCTGGCCAGAACCACTGAATGATGATTTACTACTAAATATTCTGAAATCAAAATCGATTCGAATATCTGGTTTCAATTAAAGAATATATTTGTAAGAACCTTGTATTTTTAAATTCAAATTTAATTTTATTATTATAAAAATAAATTAGTTGTAAAAATATCTATACTAAAATAACTATTATAAAATAATTATTGTAGAAATATTTTTTTTAAATAAATGTACTTTAAATAAGAAGCATCAAAAGATTTTTTTTCTACGAATTTTGGTAAATAATAAAATAATATAGTAATTACTTTCATAATTGCATTATTAGGTGTATAATTTACTTGATCAATTCTTTAATTTTTAACTTAAACTTTTTATTATAAGCCAACTATAGATATCTTTAAATACCGGTTGCACTTGTAACGATCTCCAGTCAGTACAAGCCGTTGAATGGTAAACATTTTAGTAATTTTAAACAAATGGTTAAGTATTGACATTTAATATTTATTGACAACAATATTCTAAGTGTTTCAGTAAAACAAATTTATATTAATTTCACGAATGTCTACATAAAAAAATAGTAACGAGTAAGGTATATCCCACGTTACTTTTCCCACAATTTAAAAATGATGTCACATGTCTGTACAAACCAAATGTTCCTCGTATGTATAACTTCATGCAAAACTTAAATTCTAGCTCGGTATTATTTTATACATGCATAACACTCTCGTATTCATTATTGTTTATTTCCTATATATACACACGTTTGTATATAACACGACCGATGGTTTATTATTAATTAAATATAAATATATGTTAAAAATAATATATACTCATATATATTTATGTATACCAACACATTGAGCATAGAAAACTACAACTCTATTATATTATAAACAATTTTGCTGTTATAATATCAAAAATCAAAACTAAAGCTCAACATTTTGCATTATAGAAATCTTAACCGATTGGTTCAATCTAAAAATGATATACGTCATGTATTATGTCCATATACGAGTATATGTTTTTTTTCATTATTATTTAACTACAGTTACTACTTACCGGAGCCATTACCCTCCAGTATTTACTTTTTTAGTTAGATATTAATAATATGTAAGATTTGAGGCTATTTTCGTTATTAATTTAAATCATCCAGTCCATTTTTCTATTGATTAATGGCACAATATTGTATAAATATATATTTTAGTTGAGATATAAAATTAAAATTATTAGTTCATTAAAAAAGATTGGAAGTATTGTAATGTTTTTATATAATATACAAATTAAAAAATATGTTCTATATAATATTCGTAACAGAATATTATATATTATTTCCTTGTTCCGTTTTTATCAGCCATATAAATTAATTCTACCTTCAATAACTAATTGAATTATAATTTTAAACAAACTACTGATCATTAAAATGTTTTGTTGATGCATTGAATTTTAATTACTGTAGAATAATTATACTTTCATATTATTGTTTGTTTGAGTGTATAGCTTATATTTTGATGATGTGATTTGTTAAAATAATTGATTATGTCCCAATTAATATTAAGCAAATATTTTGTTAACTTCGCATATATTCTCGAAAATTTATTCGTAAAACATGATTGTTGTAAACTATTATTACTATTATTAGCAAAATAAAAATTTCATATCAAATAATATTTATTGAAAAAAAATACGAACGCTTTAATCTGATATAGGTATGTACTCGGGATCCGCTATAAACGCGACTCATTCTTTTATTCGTGAGAAAGCTTATATCACTAATATAGTCTATCTTTTCAATATTTCCTATGATTGCTTTTACTATTATTATTATTATTATTATTATTATTATTATTATTATTATTATTATTGCGCTTTAATAAAAATAATTAGCAATATGGTGTAATAGACAAATTAACAGGGGAACATTACTTTCATTTAATTTGATTTCTATTGTCTCATTCTATATTTTATCTAAAATATCTATTATTAGTTAACATATATAACATTTATAAGAAAAATATATAAATTAAAGGTTAATAATATATTAATGGCCAGCCATAAATTAAAATTAAAATTCATTACCATGTTATAGGTTTAATGTTGCTATTTTATTCGTAGAGCACGAGGTTTTTGTATAATACAATTTATGAATCCAATTTAATAAATAAAGGCTTAAGAACTTGGCACGCGTATTAACACGTATTTTATATCAACTGCATTTTATATTCCAATTTGAATGGAATTAAATGGAATTAGATTTATGCGAGTTCCATTCCATTTGTCACTGAATATAATTTACCAAACAAAACTAACGTCTCTGAACTGTATGAGTCCCATTTGTACTATATTTATATTATAATATGATATTAATTTTTGGGGTATTTACTACGTAGTTTTAGCAAAAAAACAACTTATAATAGATGTCACAGCTAAACCCATCAGAGTTGTACGCAAAAAAAGGCTCAAAAATATTTTATAATCGTGAATGGCATTTAATTATGTACCAGAATCCTAAAATAATAATGATTCGAAAAATATTCTTACTATGCAAATATGATTTACTTTAGAAACACTTCATCGGGTTTAAGAAAAAAGCGGTTCATTTATTTATATTTATCCCTATTTTTTTCATATCATATTCCTATCTCTGAAAAACCATTATATATATTTTTTTTTTTTTTTGTTTATTATAGCTGGCCGTGACAGTAGACGAAGTATATGGCGAACAAGGGAGTTCTGCGGGCGCATTTACGTCCTTGACCCTAGGATACTTATACCTAGGTGGCAGTGAGAATACCGTTGCGTTGCCGGGCACAAAAGCGAGCACAAACTTTGTGGGATGCATTCGAAAGGTAAAATATAAAAATATAATAAATTTGCTTAATAATTTGTGAAAGTTTATAGTCTGATTATAAGTTAGGATTTATAATATTCGTTACAAACTGTTTGTCCTTCAAGTATACCTTCCTATATTATATTGAAATTATTTTTAGCAAAAGATTTTCACTTTTTTTCGTTTAATAAGCTAAAACAAAATACGTGGAAAATACCTTTAGACTGGTGTTACTTAATATTTCAAGTTATTGTTAAGAAAATGGAAAAAAAAAATACTTTGCATAAAGTAAACATTTTTTTTAAATCAATAAAAAATAATCTTTATTTTTAAGATGGAAAAAGTGTTTAATATATTTATAAGAATTTGAATGCCCACAACATTTTATAAAAATATCAATTAAAATTGTTTTTTTTTAAATTTATTATGATAAAAAAATAATGTTTAAATGATAAATCGAAACATTAAGTTTAGATAAGATTTATACGAACCTAAGTATGACGTATATAAAGATCTTCAATCATAGTTTTTTCTTTATAATTACTTAGTTTTGAAAAAAAAAATTAAAGACTATTAAATAGTCTACTTCTATAAATTGTATAGCTCTTCAAATAGGTACTATTGAATTTCCCAAAGACTATCAAAACAAAAACATATAATGATTGATTTCTATTATAGGGATTATAGCTATATTATGGTTTAATAGTTCATTATTTTGTTTTTACTAATATATTATAATTCCAAATTTTTATAAAACACTCCATTCACACTTTGATAGAATAAAATAATTTATAAATTCTAGAGTCTATTCCAATATTATAAAAATGTATTTATTTTGTACATCACATACAAAACAATTTCACATTAAGCTTTCCTAATTAAATTAAATTATTTTAGCCAGGTAACATGTATATATATAAATTATAAAATTGATACAAACATAAAAATGTACGTTGTATATAATATTTGTTGGATATCATCATCTGAAATTAACTTATTAAGTTAAAATATCATTATGATAAATAAACAAAAAAACATTTTAACTTGTACACACTAACTGATATTTATAAATACAACTTAATAAACAAAATAAATTATAATTGGCAAGTGCAAATATAATATTTATTAAACAAATATTATTTAATCATATTTTTGTAAAACATATTTAAACCTACTTAGATTAATTGTTATATATTGATTTTAAACCTCCTATTTCTTATAATTCCTTTCTCTGTAAAAGGTGTTATTTTGTACTATCTACATGGCTACATAATACAAATCATAAATATTTTTTAATTATAAACTAGTTATTAGTATTTATTTATCATCAATTGTTTATATTTATAATCGTTTGGTTTTTGCCGGACTTGTATTATAATATTATTATAAATATTGCATTTCTTCTTATTATTCATATTTTAACAGCGGCGTCTTAAATAGGCAAAATTGATGCATTTGTGTCAAAAAAATATTATTGCAATCAAATTATTGTTGGTAATTCTTGATGCTATTTCACATACAAAACATAATTTATTTTAGACTTTTGTTCCTTATATTTTTAATATTAGAAGGTCAACTTGAAAAATTATTTTAACATTGACTTAAGCTACTTAAAATTATATATTAGGGAAAAGGCATTTCTTATTGTACCGTAATAATAATATTACTAAGTGTAAACGATATGTTGCGTGTGAATAATTCGCCCCAGAGGCTTTTTAACATTAATGATAGATGATTAGTACCTGTCTTATAATAAATCACGAAATTTTATATGACAGATTTCAGTTTGAAAACAAATAATATTCAAAAGAAAATAATTTGATTGTTTTAAATTTTATACATAATTTGTTAAAATAATATTATTATGTATGCTTAAAATTTTACGTTAAAAAATAATTTATGAAAAGTATTTATGTAAATTACTTTGCTCGTTGATACAACTTTTTTATTAAATATACGTATGTATAGATATCTAGATAAATTTCAACCACCTTTAAACCAAAATTATTTAAGAGCTCTGTGCCAAAATAATTATTTTTAGTGTATTAATTTGCGATCTTTTTGGTGTTTTAACTTACTTTTATAGGTGGAGTATACTTCCGATGGCGTAAATAAATACGATTTCTTAGAAATGGGAAAAACTGGCATTTCAACTATACAAGTATATGGTCGATTGCAATTTTCGTGCCAAGACTTTGGAATGGATGATCCTGTGTGCCTATCTACTCCCCGATCATTCCTCGTAAGTAAAAAGATGTTATTGATCTTAGAACAGCAAAATTACAGAATGAAGTTTTGATACTTACTAAAAACAATATTAAATACATCTAACATTCTGTTTATAAAAATAATAACATTATTTATAACTAAGATTCATATTTTTGTAGCAAAGTGAAACTACATCATTCCTCATTATTAGTATAATTAAAATTACCTTTAATGAAATGATTAATTACGTACGTACCTTTATTCTCCGTAACTATAAAAGCGTATATGAATAAAATGAATCACATAACTTACCTAAGATATCTAAATATTCATTTAAAAAAAGTATATATTTATACCTAAAGACTAAAATGTACCTACTTTATAAATATTAATTAAATTAATTAATTTTAACATATTAATGTAATACATGTACTACGAACATTTAGTTATATTTGTTATAAATTATAACTACGTTATGAGAAACACTAACCTTATTTTTGAATGTTTCATTATTGTTATGATAAGTGTCTATTAATTTACAACATAAGTTATTTTTATCTTTTAGACACTCAACACCTGCGGGTTTGAGTACCTATAGTAAAATAATGATAGATTATAGTTTTAGTATAAGTTAAATATGAATTATATTATTTAAATTTGGTTGAAAAAAAAATAATAATAATAAAACACTTTAAATATTAATCTGTTATAAATAATTCAGAATATTTAGATAAATAAAACGGCAAGTAATAATATTGTAAAATCACTTAAGTTACACATATTATACAATGTAAAATGTATGCATTTTCCATATTTTATTATGCAGTTTAGTATTATTTTTTTTTTTTTTTTTTAATGCATTAGCCTACAATAGTTATAATGCTAAGCACAGTGATTTTAATACATATTTAAGACAGTATGTCAAAAACCACTACAGCAGTGACGGTGGCAGCTGTCACTAATTGTTCAGAAACTTTTAAAGCTTATGTTCATTCATTATTGATTGGGGCAACGTTATTAAAGAACCATCCATTGTCGCCATCCGTCTCATACATATATATATTATCCTTCATTTTATCGTTGTTCTATAAACTAACGAGGAATAAAGGTATTCCCAATAAATTAAAGAAGTTTTGAGCTATTTTGAAATGATCACATTTTTTTCTGACTTTATATTACGACTCAAATATTTGTTTAACCCGAGTTTATTAACACAAATGATATATTTCTTCTTGAATTAATTACATTGACCTAAACATAAAACTAAATTATCCAATGTAAAATGTAAGTATTTAAGGAAATGTATTTATTTATTTATTATTGTTAAATTCAATAAATTTATAAAATTTTAATATTATTAGTCACAGTTAAAACTAATATTTTCATAAATATACTTGTCGAAGTACCAATATCATTTTTAATTTTTTTCTTATAACGTTTCATGAAAAATAATAATTCTAAAATAATTTTAAGTTTCTAAACATATATTTAGATTCATTATATCTCCATTGTTTCCATCTGAAGTTACAGGTACAATAGATTGTTTATTGGGTTAACTAGGACGTGGATATTATTTGGAATACTATTATTTATTTATTTTATTTATTAAAAAATATTTACTTTATTTATAAAAAAATGTATATATATTTAACAGTTTTAAATCCAATTTAATTTTATAAAAGTGAGTATATAGTAAAAGAATAAATTTAGATATTTTAGGAATATATGGATATAAAATAAATGTTTAGATATCTAATACAAAAAGTTAATGTGGATAATAATAATAATAATTATTATTATTATTATTATTATTATTATTATTATTATTATAAATAATAAAACACGGTATATAATTTGGTAATACATTAAAATTATATAAAACCACATATTTTTATAATATTACTACTACTATAAAACATTTTTAAACGAATAGAATTATCTGATGACATTAACATATATGATAATTAAAAAGTAATATTTTTTATAAGAAAATTTAATTATTGCCTCTAGTGTTCTTTAAAATTGTTTTAAAATTAAGTCTTTCTAATAAGGGCTACAATCTATTTCATCACTAAGCAGTTTAAATTTTTACGGAAGTAATATCAAAAACTCTAATACTTTATCATAACTAAAATAAGATTATATTTCATAAAAAAAAAAAAAAAAACGAAATTCACGTTATTCACGAAATAATCAGCTTGTAATATTACAGTCCTAATGAAAAAACCACACATTTATCGTGAATTATTTAAATACATTAAATTGCTACCATTATAAAACAGAAGAATTTTCAAATATTTAACTCTGACAAAAGTTATAAAAATAAAACAACTATAATAGAAACAAAAAGAACTAGAACAGGTAGTAAATTTAGCACAAGCAGTTTTTTAAGTTTAAAATAATGGTGTATTTGACATACACAAATCTACACAATATGTTATCATAATGAATTTACATAATATGTATTATAAAAATGTATCAGACCATAATAATAATAATTTGGAGTATATAAAAGAAAATCGTTGAGCAATTTTTTTCTTAAGTTTATTGTTTAAGTTACGTTTAGAAATTGGAAGTTAAGCATGACGCATCAGTGAGTCTTATAAGTTATAGAAGTTTTGTAATAGCAAGAGTATTAAAATGATTTTAAAGAACTTTTGATTTAATAATTGGTAGTGTCACGTACTTTGACAACAAAATATAATACAGGTACAAAAGCTTACACGTTTCAATTCACATAAAGGAAAGAAAGTTAAAGTTATTATACATGCAAGAGAATTAGGATACGCATTAATGCGGAATCATATTTTAAGCCGATCAACAACAATATAAGTAATAAGTAATAAGTAATTATTTTTTTATATTTTAAAATAAATTGTATATAAGCGTGAATAACTATGTAGTATTTTTTATACAACAAATTCAACTGCACATATTGAAGTTCAAAAAATTTAGGCGTAGAATGTACATTGTTCAAGCGTCAAAAAAAGATTTAATATACATGATTTATGAAAACACAACGCATGCCGTTTGGCCATCAAAGATTGTTACCAAACGATTAAGAAACTACCTATATAGGACAGCCCAAAATAAGCATATTTAGACATTTTGATATTTTATAAACTTTTCTACCAGTTAGAATCAGAAATCAAATTGTTGATTTTTAAAATATTTTTCAATAAAATAATTTGATTCAAAGTACTTTTCAACCATAAAAAATGGAATTCAGTTAAATATTCTAGTACTTAAAATTATTTTGATAAATTTTAAAATATTTATAAGTTTACAATATAACTTTAAAATGTATTTAGTACGTATATTTTAATTGTATTCATAAGAATTTTATTTTATTCCTGATAGAATGAAAATACGCAATTAACAAATTATAAATGTAAAATTTAATCACATAGTTAATTTTGTTTCTTTTTGTTAAATTAATATATAATTTTCAATTATCTACAAAAATTAGTTAGAAATTTTTTACTCAAATATCAAACGATTTCTGTATTTTAAATGTTGTATTATGGTAAATACAACTGTATAAGATCTTTAAGATGACTATCATGATGAATTATTTCTAGTTTGTTACTCGGGAGAAATATTAGCTGACATTACTTAAGAGCTAACACACTAAGCAGTAACATGTCATTAGTGTAGCAATTTCCTTTGTTCTCATCATAGCTATATTTGGTAATATTATCCTACTTAACTTTCCAGTACGCTTAACGTAGTCCTTTAATATCAATATCAAACTTAAGGTATTTCCTGTAAATCCTGTTAGCAAGAAGAGTAATTTTAGTTTTTCAAAATTTGCTATAAATTAATATTTATCAACAAAATACCTGAGTGCCTAAATATATTTATGCATATACACTTAGGTAATCCATCATAAATATATATATATATAAATAAATAATACTATAGATCCTCCACAGTGTTGCCCACGAAAAATTAAATGACACTAGTGATTTACCCTGTCTTAAACTCCACACATATTTTTAACACATTCCTAACTTGGTGGACTTACAAAATTAAAATAAAGAAATACAGATCTAAAATCATATTCAATAAAAATAACTATCTTAATGTCTGTAATTAATGGCAATCCTATTTATACAAAAATATTAGATTTAAGTTTATTGAAACTAAATCCTTATGTAAACCTATATTTAAAATACAATGTTTTCAAAATATTTTCTTGTTTCATATCTAGAACATCAGGAGAACCATTAATCTAGATTTCAAATGCGTATTTTTTGTCATTTTTTTAAAAGTAACGAACAACAATAATTGTGAGTGATATTTGGCTTTTATGTATTAAATAGATTGACAATGTTTTCAAAAAAAAATTAATTAACTAAAACTAATAATACTACTAATGTTATTATGAAATAACTAGATATTTTAAAAATCTTAAAATATTATCTATGTATAAAAAGAAGACTTTTTGTATTTTCACATATCATACTAGTAAGACGTAAAACAACAAACTATATTGAATGAATATTTTTGATTTCAATTTGGCTAAAATAACTTATTTTTTAAAAGTTTCTTATATTCAGTGTCTTTTTTTTGAAAGTTTTGAACTATGGTGAAAATGTATTGTAAACAGTTTTAATTTTATTTTCATGTACTAATTAAAATTAAAAGTAACTAAAAATTAATTATATTAGAAAATTAAAATAATGAATAAAGTAATTTAATAAAATATATTTAATAGAAAATGACTTCCTATACAGTAAAAGAATTGATACCAAATAAAAATATGTTTAGATAAATAAAACATGTAACTCAATATGCTGATTATAAAGAACCGTATACAATAGTTTATCCATTCTGCTGTATTATAACTTCTATTGTGCATTGCTATTTTATACCATAACGTGCCTATGTACAAACTGAATACTCGTGTATAATACATATGTAGACCAAACAAAATTAGATTACATGATTTTATTAACATTAATTTATTCTATATTTGTAATTTGAGCTCTCTTTTATTACTTTTCTAATTTTAAGGTCGTAAAATTATAA